GGGAAGATAGGGGTGCCTGGGTGGATCAGTCTGTTGAGCTTCCTACTCTTAATTTTGGTTCAAGTCACAATCTCACGGTTCATGAGTTTGAGCCCCTCTTCAGGTACCACGCTGTCAGCGCTTATTGGGGTTCTCTGTCTCCCTTTGTCTCTGCCCCCTCTCCTGCTTGCATTCTCTCTCTCTCTCTCTCTCTCTCCTCTGAAATAAATAAATAAAAAGTTAAACAGTAGGGAGAAGGTGTGTGATTTGCCCAAGATCTTTCAGCCAGTGAGGGATGGAACCAGCTTTCACAATGAAGCTGTTGGACTGCTCTGCCCACAGAAACAAGACTGCACATCAGAAAGGCTCAGGGCCTGCACGAGTGTCAGTGTGATGGTTTCAGTCTATGAGCTGTAACAGTTAGCAGAGAGAAATTAGTAAAGGCTAGATGTTCAGGGAGGGAAGAGAGCTGTCATTTACTAGAATCTACTGTGTCTGGCTATAACACATTAGCTGCTTCAGTCTTCATGGTGATCCCAGGAGGCACATTTTATTATTTTCCCTTTTTTTAGTTATTGGACGCTCAGAAGTTTAAGTGACTTACTAAAACTCACATAGCTGGTAAGTGGTATAGATGGGATTTAATAAGACCTTTTTTCTTTTTAAAGTAAGCTCTGTACCCAGTGTGGGGCTTGAACTCATGACCTGGAGATTAAAAGTCACATACTCTGCTTACTGACTGAGCCAGCTAGATGCCCTAACAAAATCTTTTTGTTATTAGAAATTGCAAGTATACACAAAAAGAGAGGAGTAATGTAATGTACTTATCACCCAGCTTCAATAAGTATCAATATTTTGCTTTCTTGTTTAATCTGTTCTCAATTTAAAAAAAAAGCTTTATTGAAGTATAATTGCCATAAACTGCAGGTATTTAAAGTGTACAGTTGGATACATTTTGACATATGTACATACCCTTGAATCATCACCAAAGTCAAGGCAATGAACAACACATCCATCACTCCCAAGAGTTTCCTTATGTCCCTTTATAATCTCTCTTCCTGTTTCTCCCACCCACCCTTCCTCCTCGTCACTATAGACTGGTTTACATTTTCTAGAGTTTTATGTAAGTGGAATTATATAGCATGTACTCTTATTGTCAGGCTTTTTGCACTCAGCATAATTATGTTGAGATTCATTTGTATTGTTGAATGTTTCAGTAATGCTCCCCCCTTTCCGCTGTATAGTATTCCACTGCATGAATATCACAGTTTTTTATATCCATTTACCTGTTGATGGACATTTGAATCATTTCTAGTTTTTTGCCAATATAAATAAGGCCGCTATGAATAATTGTGTACAAGTTTTCGTGTGTTTATATGCCTTCATTTCTTTTTGCATAGCTTTAGAAGTAGGATGACTGGGTCATATGGTAGGTATATGTTGAGAAACTGCCAAACTGTTTTCCAAAGTAGTCATACTATCTAACATTCCCACCAGCACTTTATGAGAGTTAGAACTCTCCTTTGTATCCTTGCCAACACTTGGCGTGATTGGGGTTTTTATTTTTACCTATTTATTTGTTTGTTTGTTTTTCATTTTAGCCCTTGTATTAGGTATGTGGTAGTGTCACATTCTGGTTTTAATTTGTATTGACAAATAATATTGAACCCTTTTGCCCTCCATACATATTTTTCTCTTTTAAAGTAAGCTTCTATGCCCAAAGTAGGGCTTGGACTCATAACCCTGAGATCAAGAGTTGCATGCTCTTCTGGCTGAGCCAGCCAGGCAGCCCTACCATCCATACATATTTGATGAAGTGTCTGTTCAGATCTTTTGCCAATTAAAAAATCTGAGTTTTATTTTCTTATTATTGTATGTTGAGAGTTCTTTATGTTTTCAGGATATAACCCTTCATTGACATGAAAACATTTTTTCCTACTCTGGGGCTTGCCTTTTTGTGTTGTAGACAGTATCTGGGTAAAGGCAGAAGTTTTGAGTTTTGATGATGCTTCATAGCTTTTTATTTTATGAATTGGGCTTACAGTATTATATCTAAGAAGTATGCAAAATCCAAGGTAAAGATTTTCTCCTATATCTTTTCTTTTCTTTCTTTTTTTTTTTTTAATTTAACGTTTATTTTTGAGAGACCAGAGACAGAGTGCAAGTGGGGGAGGGGCAGGGGGAGAGGGAGACACAGAATCCAAAGCAGGCTCCAGGCTCCTAGCTGTCAGCACAGAGCCCGGTGAGGGGCTTGTACTCACAAACTGCAAGATCGTGACCTGAGCTGAAGTTGGATGCTTAACTGAGCTACCCAGGCGCCCCTCTCCTATATTTTCTTCTAGAAGTTTTAAAGTTTTGAGTTTACATTTAGGCCTATGATCCATTTTGAGCTAATTTTTACTTTTGGTAAGAGATAAGAATTAAGATTCATTTTCTTAGTATATGGATATCTGGATTTCAGCACTATTTGTTGAACAGACTGTCCTTTTTCTCAGTGACTTACCTTCACACCTTTGTTGAAATCAGCTGTCCATTCACTTTTTTAAAAAATGAAATTTAAAGCAGATGCCAAACATAATGTCATTTTACCCTTGCATATACTTTGTTATGCATCTCTATCTGGCTCATTATTAGACTGATTATTAGAAACATAATCACCATGCCATTATTACTATTTTTTAAGGTGAGGGATTTTTTTTTTTTTTTTTTTAAAGATTCCATTTTTAAGTAATCTCTGTGTCCAGTGTGGGGCTTGAACTCACAACCCCAAGATCAGGAGTCACATGTTCCACTGACTCAGCCAGCCAGGTGCCTTACCAACATGTCATTATTGCACCTCGCAAAAGTAACAGTATTTCTTTAAAATATAATCTAATATTTAATTCATATTTAAATTTCCCAGTTTGTTTCAGAGATAGGTTTTTATAGATGATTTGGTGAAATTAGTGTTCGATTTGGCTGTCTCATAAATGTTTTTTTATTCTTTAGCAGTCCTTGCACCATTCTCTTTCCTTTTTTTTTATTATTGATTAGCTTGTTTTGTTATTTTTTATTGCTTATATTATTGGTGATTCATTCTGTACTTGACTGATGCTTCCTTGAAGTCTTTAACTCCTTTCTCTATTTCCCCTATTTCTTGTAAACTGGTAAATAGATCAGATCTAGAGACTTGATTAAATTCAGGTTCAGTTTTTTTTGTTTTTTGTTAAAATTTTTTTTAATGTTTATCCATTTTTGAAAGAGAGAGAGAGAGAGCACGTGCAGAGAGTGGCAGAGAGAGAGGGAGACACAGAATCTGAAGCAGGCTCTAGGCTCCAAGCTGTCAGCACAGAGCCTGACTCAGGGCCTGAACTCACAAACCATGAGATCATGACCTGAGCCAGTCAGAAGCTCATCTGACTGAGCCACTGGGGCACCTCTGTTTTTTGTTTTTTTAAATCAAGTGTATCCTATGGGTAGTGGTTAATCCTGTTCCATTCAAGAGGTGACCTATGTCTGGATTATTCTTAGGATTTAGATGGTGTCGACCTGATATGTTCATTGTAAATTTCCTCATCATCCTTTCACTTTAGTTTGTAAATTTGTTTTAGCATCCATTAATTATGCATTATTGCCTCAGTTTGTTGTTTGATTAGAAGTTGCAAGGTGGTGTTTTTCTAATTCTATCATTCTTTTTGTGTTTATGAGCTAAAGTTGTAATAATTAAGAAAAAAAATTACCCTCATCAATTATTTGGTTACCCTGAAATAATTTAGCACAAGCTGGTTAAATGTTTGATTTATTTCCCCATTATTTTATTTTATTAATTTCTTTTTTAACTTTTATTTATTTTTGAGAGAGAGAGACAGAGTGCGAGTAAGCGCGCTAGCTGGGGAGGGGCAGAGAGAGAGTAGACACAGAATTTGAAGCAGGCTCCAGGCTCTGAGCTGTCAGCACAGAGCCTGACCCGGGACTTGAACTCAAAAACTGTGAGATCTTGACCTGAGCTGAAGTCGGCCACTTAAACAACTGAGCCACCCAGGTGCACTCAGGTTCTTTATCAGTTTTCAGAATAGTGTGATTTGGTCTTAGCAGTCTCTGGTGGTGATCAGTGAAGCATTTGTTTCTTCTTATTAAGTCACCCATTTATATATATTTGATGTGTTTCAACTCATGGATGTCATGATTGCTTTTGATGCTGAAAAATGGCTTTGAGTTAGCAATTGTCTCTTTTGGTATAACAATTTCATTCTTTGAATAAATGGGCTTTGAATCTTGGTTTAATTAACTTCAGTGCCATGTTCTTCCCACTGTTATTGTTGTGCTTCCTTGCAGGAAGCCCTCAAGGAAGTCCTCAAGGTGCAGTTGAGGGGTGCATTTATTGGAATAGGGGCTTGATTCCAGGAGTGTCAACATTTGTATGAACGTAGTTCTAACAGCAGGAGGGCAGAAGATACTTGTGGTACAAAGGCCTGGGCTGTTCATTAGTAGTACAAGTATGACAAGTAAAGAAAAATAGGCTAGAGACATAGCACAAAGGACCTTGCCAGCTGGGTTAAGGGACTTGGTCTTTTTAATACTTAGGTGGTGGGTCATGACAAGTTCATGACATTTTCTTACATGAGGTTGATAGAAAATTATTTTTGAAAGAAGACCCTCTTGATTGCTATTTTCATTGAAGTTTGCAGAGAAGAACTCAGCCAAAGAAGCCAATATTATCTAAGTAAAACCTGGCAAGAATCACTTGTTGAATGGTTCTTAATTTCTTAGAAATCTGTAATCTTTAAACCTTTCATTTTTCACATGTGATATGTTGAATTTATGTTGAGTCAGTATGGTGTGTGTATATAATGTATGTAGTGATAACTGAAAGTGTTTTTAAATAATTTATTTCTGGTGGCTTACTCTTTAATTGGCCTCCTGTTACGTAATTGGCTATATTGAAATCCAAAGAGTAATTATGGATTAGTGGGCTTTATCATATTTTAATATAAGATTTGGCTAATTTTCTGTTTCACTACATTTTACTTAATAATTTCTAGGGCCTCATGGTTATGAATGTGCTTCAATTTCATAATGCCTCCTGCTATGGCAGACATCCTTGACATCTGGGCAGTGGATTCACAGTTAGCATCTGATGGCTCCATACCTGTGGATTTCCTTTTGCCCACTGGGATTTATATTCAGTTGGAGGTTCCTCGGGAAGCTACCATTTCCTATATTAAACAGGTATGTTAATAGGTAAAATTTTTATCAGTGTAGCTTACTTACTATATTATAGGAAATGTTATTTGTGTAAATCATATGGTCAGTTTGAGAGAAGATTAAGCTTTGGGTCACTACATATTAAAGATTTTGATATTTGCCTTGTATTTTGTGGACATATAAAACAGTCATTCTTACTGTCACTTTTAATCCATATGTGATACCTGATTTAAGAAAAATCAACTTACGTTGATTTTAAATGTTAGTTTAAAACATTTAAACATTAGTTTGAAACGTTAGTTTTAAATGCTCATTCAGGTTATTAAAAGGAATTTGACGTTGAAGAAAGTTTTGTGTTAAAATCTTTTTAACTGTCTCTTCCTTCCACTTCCCTCCGTACCGCACTACTTTTCATGGTGACTATGGGGAGGAAAAAGTTTTCCCTCACTAGTGAATGGCGTGTCCTCCTTTGGAAGCAAAGTCTTTTTTTTTTTTTTTTTTTTTTT